TTTCAAAGTTGGGTGGCAGGGGTGATGGTTTCTTTTGCTTGGCATCCCATACTTACTCTTTCTGCCCATTGAAAGAAACTCTCCAGATGTGGGCTGTGCTGTCTGTAAGCTGTTTAATTGGCCAAGGGAGCCCTTTGCTTTGGATGGAAGAGTCATCTTCTTGGTAAAATCTGACCCAGGACATTCAAGACCCCAAATCCCGGATGTTCCAATTGGGCTGGCTGCTGAGGTATCCTGAGGTATCCATTCATTAAACTCCAAAGCCCTGTCTCATTCCCACACCTGCGATGCTTCAGGTCACCAAGATCCCATCCTTACCAACCTGCATCTTTTGTCAATTATCTCCAGAAGCTGGGTCACCAGATATGGGGCAAAAGGAGGCCCTGGATTCCTTTTCTCCCAGGACCTCACATTCTAAAATCATTCTTATTTTTAGGGAGAAGTAAAGGGGATTTTATAGTTAATATATAAATTTAATGGCATAGAGTGTTGCGTTTTAAATTTTCTTTTTTTTTTTAATAAAGGTGGAGGACTCACTGTCCCATCAAGCACCTTTTTATTTATTTATTTATTTATTTATTTATTTATTTATTTATTTATTTATTTATGACAGTCACAGAGAGAGAGAGAGAGAGAGAGAGAGGCAGAGACACAGGCAGAGGGAGAAGCAGGCTCCATGCAGGGAGCCGGACGTGGGACTCTATCCCGGGTCTCCAGGATCACACCCCGGGCTGCAGGCGGCGCTAAACCGCTGCGCCACCAGGGCTGCCCATAAATTTGTAAATTTTCATTTTTTAACAAGTAGAACATTCAGTTGTTGAGAGGCTGCAGCTTTTTAGGTATGTGATTAGTTTATTAAGAGTTTCTTCTCTGATCTTCCTTTCCTGCCTTCCTATCTCTTCAATCTTCCGGGAACCCTGCAGGACAACCATGTGAACCACTCAAACCAGTAACTGGATATTTGAGATCTGGCAGCTTGAAAACCTCCAGTGAAAATTTCTGAAGGCTGTCCCTTGGGGGAAGTACATTAATTGTTATTTGGGGAAGAGGAGAGATTGTGTTTCTTCCTGGGGCCTCACAGGAACAATGGGTTGAGAGTTTTGTCCCTTAAAAAACTTGAGACCTGGAGACCTTGTATTGGATATTTTGGGTGCCCTGACTCACACCCTCTTGCCATCATCTGACTTGACTTCTGATGTGGCTGGGGTGGGCTGTTTCTGGTGGGTCTAACTCACTGCTCTTTGGATAGATAGCATCTTCATCTTTGACTGGAAGTGTGGGCAGTTAATAATCCCCAGGGGCAGCCCTTGGTGGCTGGGAGATGAGATAAATGGATAATGGATAAATCCTCCACCTGCCATCTTTATGGTGGACACGCCACCCGAGAGGCACTCTATGCTCTCCTTGGGAGATAGGGAGAGCCGCGGCATGCAGTGGTACTCTCCCTAACTAACTCTTCCTTTCCTGCTCACCCCCTCGCTCCTGCTCCCTCAGATCTCCTGTCTGAAAGCTCTTGTCTTAGGCTCTACTTATAAGAGAAACCAAACGAAGACAGACGTGCCAAGTATAATCAGGTTGACAGAGCCCTGGCCATCACTTTGTCACGGAAAGTGGCTGACAGACTTGGATTCAAATCTCAGCATTGCCTTCCTACGCATATCTACACAAGCTGCACACATCCACACAAATTAACCTCTCTGGAGCAGGCAGCAATTAGGAAACGTCAAAAGTCCCCATTAGAATGATCAACAAAGGAAGGCATCTTACCTCATGGGATTCATGAGGACCCTTCCTGCGTGGAGAACAGCATCTTTTGGCCTTCAAGAGCGAAAGGGACAAAAACTCTCAACTTGAGTCCAGTCACCCAGGGCACACGCAACAGCCCAGACCTGCGCAGCAACTTCTGTCCCCCACACAGTGTCCTAGCCGCATGTGTGAGGATGCCCGCGGGCACCTGATCACTCTCTTCCTTCATTCCATCCTATTCTGGTATGCAGCTAAATGTTTACCCCGCTAATTGCCAAGAGAACCACTTGCTTTAGATGGAAGGACAGTTCATCTTCTTAGTAAAATCTGGTGCGAGATCTTCACTGGTGAAGTCAGCTATGCCAAGCATAGCCCTGGGCATCCATCCATGTTTGTCCTCAGTTCACTCCACAAAACCCAGCCTCCACAAAACCTCCACCCTGCTACACTGTCACTGGCCACCCTGGGACCACCCCTTTTTTCCCAATGCAGCACCAGGACCCTCTGATGGCACTGCTACTCAAGCTGCCCTCCCACCCATGAGCCCAGCCCCACAGTGAGGCCTGGGCAGACACAGCCAGAGATGCTCAGTAAGGCAAGGGACCCCCTTCCAGAGTGGTCTGGAAAATAAATAAGAAAAAACTGGGCCAGGGATTGTGGCTTGTGCCACTTTTAATTCCCATGGAGCCATAACATCCAAACAAGATTGGGTGCCCTGAGGACTCCTAAGACAGAGAACCCTCACACTGGATTGCCAGCACCTGGGTATATCATAACCCTTACCTACAGCCATCCTTGGATACCCTAGAATTCCCTATTGCCCTGATACTTTCTTCCAGGTCTTTCTTTAGGAATCAGAGATAAAGGGCTTAACTTGAAATGTATAAATAGAGACAAAATATTCCCAGGTGGAGAGTCAGATATTGAAGTGATCCTGAGGATCTCCCTCCCACAGCTGGCAGAGCTAGTAGCTGAGTGGTCCCACTCACTGCCTCCCCCAACTAACCTGGCTCCATTTCCTCCTCCCCCTCCTCCCCAGTCCCCAAGCCAACAGAAACACTCTGATGTGCCAAATTTGGTGGTGATAGTCGTGGGGGATTTCATTTTTCATGCATCAGCCCAACCTGGTCTGGAGTCCTCGTACACTTGTGAGGCTGGAGGGAGAATACACAGGCCTGTCCTTCTTTCTGTCCTTGCATCCTTCCTATTCTGGGCTTGCCCTGGGCAACATGGGCCCAGGGTGGGCTTTTCTGGACACTTCTCAACAGAGGAAGGGCCAAGGGCCACACATGGAGTGCAGACTATCTCTCCAAACCCCACCATGTTCACTTGCTCTCTCTCCCAGCCCCTCCTCCTTCCTGAGGTCAGTTCCACTACACCAGGGACACATGCCCATTCCCACAAACACACAGCATGTATTACTGAGACACCGAACCCCATTCAGCATCATCACTCCATTGCATGCAAAGTTCTCATCTCCTTTGACCGCGTCTCCCTGCCTCCAGCACTGGGTCCAGAACCAGGGCCTTCCTTCCCAGTACCATGCCCTCACCCTTCCCCAAGGGCTCTCATCCTGGGAGGGGGAGGCCTCCACAGCCCCTGCCCCACTCTCAGGCTGCTCTCTCCACTCTGGGGCCCTGTTGTCCTCTGCACAACTCTGGGTATCCTCCTTGTGGGCCTAAGGAGCACTGTTCCTGCTTGCCTGGCCACTTCCCTGTCTTTCCCTACGCTCTGCCCCTGCAGAATGTAGGAGGAGGTCATGGGGTTGGAGATATAATAACAAGGTTCTGCCTACAGCCTTGACTATTCTAGGGCTGTGGGAGCCCCCAGCAAGTCACCTCCCTGGGCCTGGTCTTCTTACCTGTAGAATCCTGTTCTGCTCTCCCCCATCTGCCCCAACTACTCCCCAAGGCTGAAGCCTTCAGCCTGAGCTTTATGCCCTTGGTTTACTATTGTATTCTGATTCTTCACCCCAGACCCCTCAGCCAGGCCACTTCTGGTGGCATCCTAGCCCTGCACCTGTGGTCCAGACAAGTCCCAACCCTAGAAAGATCCCAATGTCCCCATTTCTGCCATTGGAATTTCCTAAGAGAATTTTTTAAACATTTTATTTATTTATTTGAGAGAGAGCACAAATGAGGGGAAGGGGTAGAGGGAGAAAGAGAAGCAGACTCTCCACTGAGCAGGAAGCCTGACCTGGGACTTGATCCGGGACCCCTAGCATCATGACTTGAGCCAAGGACAGGCGCTTAACCAACGAGCCACCCAGGTGCCCCATAAAGGTGTCTTGATACCTTATGTCCTGATATTCACAACAAACCCCTTGCAGCTACACTTTAGTCTATGTTAATGAGGTAACTTTTGGAAAACACCAAAGGATGGGCTGGTTGCCAGAGAAACCAATCATAGGACTGGAGGGTTGAAACTTTCAGTTCTACCCTTGGTCTCTGGGGAGGGGAGAGGGGCTGGAGGTTGAATCAATTGCCAATGCCTGTGATTTCATCAGTCATGCCTATGTAATGAAGCCTCCATAAAACCCTAAAGGACAAGATTCAGAGAGCTTCTGGGTTGGTGACCACGTGGAGACTTGGGAAGAGTGTCACATGTGGAGCAGGCATGGAAGCTCCATGTCCTTTCCCCATATCTTGCCTAATGTAACTTTTCCATCTGGCTGTTCCTGAGTTATTACCTTTTATAATAAACTGATAATATAGTAAGAAGACTGTTTCTCTGAGCTCTGTGAGCCACTCCAGCAAACTAATCGAACTCAAGAGGAGGTTGTTGGAATCTCCGATCTATGGTCAGAGTACAAGTGATAACAAGAACTTGCGACTGGCAAGTGGAGTAGGGCTGGTTCCAGACCACGCAGGGACTGGTCTTATAGAGCTGAGCCCTTAACCTGTGAGGTCTCACCCTATCTCCAGGTAGGTGGTGTCAGAATTAAGCTGGTATTAGAGAACTGCATGGTGTGGGGAAAGAGCCCACACCCTAGAATTGGGTCTAAAATTATACTCCTATACTCCTAACCTACTCCTTTTTTTCCCCTGTACCTGTGTGCCTACTAGCACATTGTATAATTTATTTTTTAACATGTTTGTTGTTTGTTGTACATCTCCCCCACAAGAGTGTAAACTCTGCAGGGAAATAATCTTTGTTTTGTTCATGGTTGCTCTCTGAGTTCCTAGAACAGTGCCTGACATAAATGTACTCACTACATTTATTGAATGAATGAATGAATGAATACAGTCTGCATTATTTACTTATTTATTTATTTTTAAAGATTGTATTTATTTACTTATTTATTTGAGAGAGACTGAGAGACAGAGAGTAGGGGGAGGAGCAGAGGGAGAAGGACAAGCAGATTCTGAGCTGAGCATGGACCCAGACGTGGGGCTTGATCTCACGACCCCAAGACCATGACCTGAGCTGAAATCAAGAGTCAGATGCTCAATCAACTGAGCCACCCAGGAACCCCATTTCTGCCTTGTTTATTGATGAGTGTTTTAAACTCCTGTTCTCCCACCACAATGAAGGAACTTAAGAGAGGTTGGTTCTTTTTTATATTTGTGTTCTCCAAGGTGCCTGGCCCAATGCATGGTTTGCAGCAGGGACCAATAAATGTTTTCATAATTGAATTAGTTTCAAGACAAAGACCCATGCCCAAGAGGTCCAGAGAGGGGACACCAGTGAGGGACTTCAGTGAGGTGAAAGCCAGCATTCAGTTGGAAGCCTTGTCTCAGGTCTTCCCTTGGGACCAATTCAGGACAAGACTTATGGATGGCATGAGAGGAAGACAGGTGTTCTCAGGGCCACTACTCCTCCCTGAGTCTGTTGCGCCTTGGACGTGCACACACAGAAGGAGGGTGCCACGAGCATCCCTCAGGAATAGAAAGGGACTTTACCAAGGGGAGACAGTCTTAAGAAGGTTCACACTGACTTCTCTCTTCTGTATAAATTATAAGGTCGCAACCTGGAATGGTATGCAAGATTTGGTGAGACTTTTTTCTTTGGGTTCTCAAAGGCCTGTGTGGCCCAGAAAACAGTGAGAATCACTAGCCTACAGGACCCCAGGGGGAATCCCAGAATCCTCCCTCCATGCCCCACTTGCTCAGCCTCCCCCAGCCAGCTCAGAAAACTGGGCAGAGCCTGCTATGAACACTCATTGGTCACTACCTGGGCTCTGTGAATGGGCTCAGGGCAGCAGAGTGCAGAAGACAAGAGAGGCCCGTGTTCGGCCTCATTCCCCTTGGCTCTACCCTTCCCAGGAGTTCCAGGCTTGAGGAGAAATTAGAGTTGATTTTAGGAAAGGAATGTTCAAAGTCCAAGTGGCGGAGAGAAAGAGGTAACATCCTGAGTGCCTGCTCCTTCCCCTTCTGTTCCAAAGTGCTCCAAAGTGCCAGCCCCATGAATTCCTTCGGCTCCACAGCCCCACAATAAGAACCCACATGTTGGTTGGATCACAGCAGCTGTATCAGCAGTAGTCAAGCAAATGAGAACTCTGGGGGTCCTGCCTCAAAGCTGGCATGGATGAGCCCCCAGATTGCTCATCTGGTAGAGCTTCAGACGTAATCACCTGACCTTAATGATCTCCCAGCCCACCACCCATCCACAGGCTCCTCAGCCCAGACCCACAGCTCAGGGCCCCCTTAGCCCCATCAGAGCTGAGGGGAGAAGCCAGCCACCACGATGTTTTCTCCATTGATGTAGCTGGCATCTGGAGAGCACAGGAAAGACACAAGTCCCGCACAGTCCTCAGGCTGCCCTAACCTGCATAGAAGGAGGAGACAGAACACATGTCAGTGACCTCAGACTCTGGTTCTGCTGCTCTGATGGGATTGGGTTCCAAGGAGGAGTAGGGCAGACTCAGCTGGACTGCTTGCACCCCTCAGGGCTCTGTGGAACCCAGACTTCAGCTACAGGAATGGCCAGGGGGTGTCTGGGTGGTTCAGTGGTTGAGTGTCTGCCTTTGGCTCAGGGTGTGATCCCAGATTCCCAGGATCAAGTCCAACATGGGGCTCCTTGCATGGATCCTGCTTCTCCTCCCTCTATCTGTGTCTCTGCCTCTCTTTCTGTGTCTCTGGTAAATGAATAAATAAAATCTTTAAGAATATATATATATATACATATATATATATATATATGTATATATATATATATAAAATAAAAGGAATGGTCAGTACAAATAGGGAGGGGCCGGCTTGTGAGACAGATGGGCCACCCTCTCCAGGTGTACCCAGATTACCAAGGCTCCAAACCTTTGCAGGTGGTACTTCTCCTTGAAGTTGTTCCAGAGAACCTCATTCATGTGTAACTGGACAAAGGGAAGACAGAAACAATCAGTGCTGCTAAAACAAGGAGATGGGCAGGGCCACAGGTGATCCCAGGGCACAGCACCCCTAGCAGATTTGCCTTTCTCGAGGGTGATAGGCTTGAGTCATGGCTGACTTCAAAGGACAAGGAGGACCTCAGCCGTTAGGAACACTAACCTGAGGCTTCAGTCATTCCTTTATCCCAGTGGAGAGGTTTCTACTGAGCCCAGCTGGGAAATGGGGGACACACCCTGGTCCTCACCACTTTGCTGAAGTTAGTCTTGATCATTCCTGGAACCAGGCAGTTCACCCGGATGCCCTTGGGGGCCAGCTCCAGTGACAGCGTCCTGGTGAGGCCCAGCAGGGCCGTCTTACTGACATTGTAGGGACCCAGCTCCTGGGAAGGGAATCAAGACAATGATTAGAGTATGGGGAAGTAGGGGTGCCTGAGTGGCTCAGTTGGTTAAGCATCATGATCTCAGGGTTGTGAGATTGAGCCCCACGTTGGGCTCCCTGCTCAGCAGGGAGTCTGCTTGTCTCTGTCTCCCTCTGCTCATTCTCTCTATCTCTCAAATAAATAAATAAATCTTAAAAAAAAAAGATGTGAGAAAAAAGGGGTGCCTGAGTGGCTCAGTCAGTTAAGCATCTGACTCTTGATTTCAGGGCAGGTCTCCATCTCAGGGTCATGAGATTGAGCCTCACCATTGAGCCCCCACTGGGTTTGGCACTCAGCAGGGAGTCTGCTTGGGAATCCTTCCCTTTCCATCTGCCCCTCCCCACACATACACTGTCTCTCAAATAAATACATAAATCTTAAAGAGAAGAAGAAAGAAAGAAGAAAGAAAGAAAGAAAGAAAGAGAAAGAAAGAAAGAAAGAAAGAAAGAAAGAAAGAAAGAAAAAGGGATCCCTGGGTGGCGCAGCGGTTTAGCGCCTGCCTTTGGCCCAGGGCGCGATCCTGGAGACCCAGGATCGAATCCCACGTCAGGCTCCCGGTGCATGGAGCCTGCTTCTCCCTCTGCCTATGTCTCTGCCTCTCTCTCTCATTCTGTGTGACTATCATAAATTAAAAAAAAATTAAAAAAAAAAGAAAGAAAGAAAGAAAGAAAAAGAAGAAGAAAGAAAAAGAAGAAAGAAAGAAAGGAAGAAAGAAGAAAGAAAGAAAGAAAGAAAGAAAGAAAGAAAGAAAGAAAGAAAGAAAAGACACAGGGAAGCAGAGGAAAGTATCTGTTGGATTTCTCACCTACAGATGATCCCACCCCTGGCCCAAGCACAGAGCTCAGAAAACCCTCCCCAGCCTAGTCTGAGAACAGAAGCTGGATCTCAGGGATGCAGCAGGTACATGGGCATCAACAGCCTACGGCAGCAGGAGTGAAGTGGGGGTCTGTCCCAGGCATTATCCCTGTGGCATTCTGAGGACTCCTTCCCCTAATCTAATCAGGTGCACCCTGAGCAAGCACTCACCACATGTGGTATATATCCTGCAATGGAGGAGACCAGGATGACTGCCCCCATCCTGAGAGGAGACAGACACAAGAGGAGACAGGAAACCAATAACTTACCATGGATTGAGGTGCTATTATGATTTTTAAAAGACATAAAAATTTGAATAATACCATTTTAATGATTATAGTCATTGAATAATGCCATCCTTGGAACAGCAATATAGTTCCTGTTATTATCCCCATTTCAGAGCTGAGCAAACAAAGGCTCAGCAGGGCTTAGCAGCAGAGCCATAAATGGCAGAGTCAGGACTCTAACCTCACCTCTCTTACCCAGTGTCCATGCTCCAAGCCATTATACTCTTCTGCCTTTCCCTGGGGAAGTGAGGAGCAGAAAGCCAGCTGCTTGTGGAAGGGGAAGAGTGAGCGTGGTGAGGAGGCCCCCAGTGCTAAAAGTGAATACCCATCAATGGACCACCTCTGAGAAGCAGATGAGGCAGGAGGACACAAGAAATGAGAGTCAGTAACTTTTCCTTCTATCCTACGCAGTCCCGGGCCAGCTTCTAAAGGGTACATCTACACAGAGGAATCTGAGGAGCAGCTATGTCCTAAGGGAGACAGCAGCCTGCATCCCTGCCACAAGACCCCTGAGACTATGTATGGGGTGCAGCCGAACATGCATCATCTGGAATCCAGGCAGTCTCTCTGGAGGCTGAGAAGCAGGGAGCAGGGCAGCCTGGGTGGCTCAGCGGTTTGGTGCCACCTTCAGCCCAGGGTGTGATCCTGGAGACCCAGGATCAATTCCCACTTCGGGCTCCCTATATGGAGCCTGCTTCTCCCTCTGCCTGTCTCTCTCTCGCTCTCTCGCTCTCTCTCTCTCTCTCTTTCTCTGTATGTGTCTCTCATGGATAAATAAATAGAATATTTAAAAAAAAAAGCAGGGAGCAAGGAGGGGCCCAGGATGGGCTTCTCCCCATGGGGAGCAAAGGGGCAGACCCTGTCACAGATCATAAATTGGTGAAAAGACACTGTCCAGCAGTTCAAGAAGCAGAGTAGAGGAGGATGGGAATGACCTGCCTACGAGGCAAAGGAGCTAAAGCACAGCCCTTTCCCAAACCCGGTGATGTCAAGGCCAATGACACCATGCCTGAGCCCCAGGAACAGCACCCTCATCCTATAGCCACTAGAATTAGAAGCTGTAGCTGTGCAAAAGATGAGGCAGGGCAGAGGGAGAGGGATGTGGAGACTCCAAGGACACCTCTTTGGTTCCCCTTCCCAGCTGGGCCCCTATATTCTCCAGACTCCATTCTTGCACTGATTCCCCACCAGTTCCCACTGTCCCTGCCACCCGGCAACCTACCCCCTGTTCTCCATGTGGGGCAGCAGCTGGCTCAGCAGCAGGGCTGGCGACTTCACATTCACATCCAGGATCTGAAATCAGAGCAGAGGCCAGAATGGAGGGCAGAGAGACACAGTCAGCCCTCGGCCCAGGGCCCGTTCTCAGAAGACACTTGGACCCCAGTCATTTGTGTGGCAAACCCAGGAAGGTGCAGATCTGAGGTTCATTTCCCTTCTGATCAGGACAAGAGTGGTTTCCCACTTGCTAATGTTAACAGGCAGGCAGGCTAAGTGGCAGGCCCGTGAACAGAGCCCTGAAAACGTGAACTGGTCAGGACTAGGATGAAGGAGGGAAGTGTTCAGGACTTTTTTTTTTCTTTTTCTTTTTATTATTTATTTATTTATTTATTTATTTATTTATTTATTTATTCATTCATGAGAGACACACAGAGAGAGGCAGAGACACAGGCAGAGGGAGAAGCAGGCTCCATGCAGGGAGCCCGATGCAGGACTCGATCCCGGGACCCCAGGATCATGCCCTGAGCCAAAGGCAGACACTCAACTACTGAGCCACCCAGATGCCCCATGCTCAGGCCTTTTAAAGAATCTAGATTATGAGCTGATTGTGCAGAGCGAAGTTATAAGCACAGGCCCCTGGAAAAAGATTGAAAGTAGAACAGATGGAAGGAAAGGAGATTTCTGGAAGAGCTGTCTTTGTCTGTCTGTGTTTTTACTCATTTGTGTCCTTGTCTTGTCCCAGTAGAATTGAAGGCATCCTCACAGGGCAACAGCATAAAACAAATCAAATAGGTATAACATGTGAAGAAACAGTGTAGGAAGATAAGCAAAAGCCAGAGCAAGGTTGATGCCCATGGTTCACAGCATGAGGTAAGGACTAAGCATCACTCTCCTATTCGTCCACAAAAATGCCAGCTGTGAAGGCCTATGTGCATGCCTATTTTTATCACCTACTTGGCTCTAAGCTTTCCTGGGGCCATCATTAAAAGGGAGACACAACAGAGAAGGGCCGTTCTGGGAGCTCAGTGCCCACGCTGGGCCCACCTGCAGCTAAAACCTGGATCTGGCCTCAGGCATGAGGGTCCCTGATCCTTTGTCCAGGGACTCAGTCTGGTGGGACTGGGGCAGAGGAAAGGTAAGAGGGAACTGGCTGGGAGAGATGTAGAGACTGAGCCGGGGGCTAGGACACAGTGCCAGCTGGGGCTAGAGTGGTACCAGGATCCCACCTGTGGGGCAGCATCTTGTGTAAGATCAATGTGTCCTGTGTCTCTAGGGAGTGAGGCTGCACATCTACAGCATTTCCCCACATCTTCATCCCACACCCCACCATTCCTTTGGATGAGGACAGGGGAAAGTCTTCAAGGGAGAGCTGCTGAGGCCCACGTGTTGATGGGTTGCCAGTGTTGGGGATGACCCCGAGGATTGTAAAAAGTGGTTCAGATGCCCAAAGGGGGGCCTAGCATGAGGTCCCCAATAAGGAGGAACTGATCATTAGACTACAGGACTTCCTGCCCATTTTCTGCTCAAAACAAAGCCCCACCATCCCACCGATGTCTGCTCTAGGTTCCACGTGTGTCAGGCTAGATGATGGGCTCAGACAAGGCCTCTCCTAGACTCAGCAGCCAAACAGGAGCCAAGAAAAAGGTGTGAGTTTCTCCTCTTCTTAAAAGGACTGCCCTATTAGAGAAGCAGGTAGAGTAGCTCCCAGTGCCATGAAGTCCTGAGTAGAGATCGTGGGCCTGAGAAGATTGGATGCTGGAGAGTCCTCAGGCAGGAGAAGGATGGAGAAATGGTGGAAGAGGAGATGGGAAACTTCACAACCAGCTGTAGAAAATAGGAGTCTGCCCAGGGGAGGTGCTCAAACTGGCCCAGTGACAAAGTGCGCAAGAAGGAACACCCCCCCGCCCAGGACACCTCCTAAAAACTGCATTCAGATAAAGCAGAGCTTCAGGTAAATTTCAAACTGGTTTTGTGACCATTTCCCCTCTGAGGTGGTGACAGATGTGTTTGGGGATGACTCCTACCCAGTGGTGTGGACTGCCCATAGACCAGTAAGGCCTTGGAGAATAGGGTGGCAGCAGAGAAAGTAAGGCTGGGCTGTGGGCTAGCACACTCAGCTTCAGGAGGGAAGATTTCAAATGGGTTCTGAGAAAAAGAGATTCATGATCCCATGAACTAAGACACTAAAAGGGAAAATGACTCAGGAGGGTTGGGACACTGTCAGCAATGAAATCCCAGCTACCTAATCATGAATGATCCTTCGGAGGCATTAAGGAAGCTGAGGAGCTTGGGGAGGCTGCTAGCAGTGGCTGCAGGGAGCTCAGGTTTCAGGCCATCTGTGAGGATGGAGGGAAGGGCATCCAGCCAAGGCAGACAGACAGGAGGTAGCGGCCTGAGAACGATGTCTATAGAGCACAGAGACCCAAGGAAGGCAGAAGGAAATGTTCTGGCCAGTGCCTGGGATGGAGGAGAATGCTAACAACAGCGGGAAGATGAGGATTTCACTGCAGGCCATCCTGTAAGGAGGACTCAGGAACCAAACACAGGAGTGAGTAGAATAGGAGTCATAGAATAATGAAGGCCAAGGTGGACCTCAAGACATTTTATCAAGTCTCTTCTGGACCCTGTGGACCAGGAGGCAGGATCATTAGTGGGAATGCAGTGGGTTGGAATGTCTGAGCTCATGGAAAGCTGATGAGCCTGGGCCTGGGCCTGCCAGGTATAGCAGGTTCCTCTGAGGGACAGTGAGGAACTCTCATCCAGGAAGGGTGAAGAATCTCAGTGGCAGGTACGCATCCCCAAAGAGGAGCAAAATCACCAAAGGATATAAAATACATCTACTGTGGACAAAGAGCAGAGACCTGACTATTTTTTACTCTTACTAAGAGCAGAGACCTACTCCCACAGCCATATCCCCAGAGCCTGGCATATAGCAAACCCCCAACAAATATTTGCTGAATGAATAAATACAGATAGGAAGAGAAAGAAAAGCAGAAGGAATGTAGGAACCCACTTTGAAAGCACACAAATTGAAAAGTGGCATCGTGGCACATTCCAGGGGACAAGTGATCAGTGCCTGTTTTTACAGTCACTTCAGGAAAGGAGAGTTGAGTCTCAGTGGGAGAGCATGTTAGACCCCTCAGCCAGCTCTCCTCAGCAGCCTCTCACCTTGTCCCACACCTCCTCACTGGCCTGCAGGGTGCTTCCTACCAGGGGGTTGACGGCTGCATTGCACACCAAAAAGTCCAGACCCCCATAGTGCTCCAGGACCTGGGGGGAGGGGTGACACACAGGGGTGTAAGTGTGGAGAAGGCCTGAGGAGGCCTCACCCTCCAGCACCACAGCCAGGTGCACAGGGCACTGAGGCAAAACTTGCTAATTAGACCCTGACCGGACCAGGAATGGTAACACAGCTGGTGTGAGAACCAAACTCCGGTGATGGCAGTTGCCCCGACAGGCCCAGGCACAGGTTCTGCCTCACTGAGGGCATCAGGGGAGGGTCTGTCTCCTCCAGGAATCCCTCCATGGGCTTGGGATGGGGAATCCCTCTAGATTCGTCCTCAACCACAGTTCTCCAGGGTGTGGGAAGGGGGCAAGGGTCCTCTCATGGACAAGCCACTCTCCAGAAAGCCATGTGCACGATGAGGTCTGCCCAAGTAGATGGTGAGCAATTCTGGTTTCAAGACGTGTTGTAGGGCCTCCCGCAGCCCCCGAACCGGCCCCCCCTAGGGCTGAGCAGCAGGGGAAGGGCTCTGTGCATTCTCCTCCCTGTGTCCTTCCACTCTGCCCCTCACCGTGGCCACCAGCCGCTCCCGGTCCTCGGCCTTCCCCACGTGGCACACGGTGCCCGTCACGCTCAGCCCCTCGCCCTGCAGCGCTGCCACCGCCCGGTCCACGTTGTGCTGCTTCCGGCTGCTGACCACCACGTGCGCCCCGTCCCGGGCCAGGCGCCGGGCGGTAGCGAAGCCGATCCTGCGGCAGAGATGGAGGGAACAAGACAGCCTCAGCCCGCTGCCACCATTGTCCCTCAACCCAGCCCTGGAAACCAACAAGGCTGTGTCCCGATCTGCAACCCCAAGGTCTCTCTGTGGAAGCGAGAGTCCTTGGAAGGGGTCAAGACCCATAGGGCAATCAGGGCACTTACCCATCAGTGGCCCCGGTGACCACAGCTACCCGATTGGCCAGGGCCCCCTTTTGGTCTATCCCAGTGCTGTTCATGCGCACAGAGAGCCCAGCATAAGAACGAAACAGGCCCCTGCTGACATAGGCCACTGCTTGGAACATGCTGGCCAGTGCCTTTTTCTGCTTCCTGCTGAACTTGGCCCTGGAGGGAAAAAACCAACTTCACCTGTCACCAATGCCATAGTAATGATGGTCATCTACCCTCAGCTCCTCCAGACAGCCAAGGCCAGCAGCAGAGAGCCAGAGAGAGCAGAGCCAGGCAGGGTGAATTTCAAACACGTGAGCCTCAGGTCAGGAAAATGCTAGGAAAATTCTCTATTTATAAAACTGGCAAATGGGAATGTGAGACCTAACATTCAGTAGACAACATTGTTTTCCCATTCAGTCCGTGTGCAAGCACTGAGAGCTTGGAACGCATCAGAGAGAGCAGTCCCGGGTTCTAAATGCCTGCATACAGTCCTCACCAGGCTGCTGAAGTGAAGCTGACTGAGTAGAGGCTGGGAGGAGGCCGAGCCAGCCAAAGCAGCCCCACACCAGGCTGCAGGGTGCAGACTGTCCCAACACCCTCTGGAAGGAAAGGAGTCGGCTGCTGTAGGTGTGCACAGGTGTTAAAGCAATGTGAGGACCCGACGTGGAGAGACTCAGAGATGTAGACACTTTCCTCTGAACTGGAAATACATCAGAGATGCTTGTGTAGGGGACCCTCTTTTGCCTAGACCCCAAATTTCCCAGCTCCACATCACTGTGAGCCCGGAGACTCCTGCCTCCCCCAGTGTGAGATTCCCATTTGCTTACTCAGGAGCCCTGCAGGGTCCTGGATCTAGGAGTCTGATCTGTTTCCTGCGGAGGCAGGTGAGGAAGAATGGTTGGAGCAAGGAGTTGTCAAGGACACCCAGGGACTTGGGATGCACTTTTAATGCAGGAGAGTGCCGGAAAGCTGAAAGAGATGCAGGCTCTGGTAGCTCTGGACTGAGGGGCCAGCAGACCTTCACTTTCAAGAGGCTCTGGTGGAGACTGCAGACCCCCATCAGTTCCAGACCTGCTTTGGCCACTCCGACACCAAGGGACTCCTTGTTACTAAGCAACCCTTGTCATACCTACTGCATCTCCCTTGTTCCTTAGCAACCAACCCTTACATAACCCAGTTCCCTCAACTTAGGGGTCGGTATCTATAATGATCAGAAAATGGGTGCTGCTCAGAAATTATGGAGAAATTTCAGATTAAATATCAGGCTGTATCTATGTCATGATGAAGGTAACCAAATGCTCTGCTTTAAGAGAGACAGCCTTGGTTTCAAATTTATGTCTCTCCTGATACCATTTTTCCAAAGTTACCCTTTACAGATCCTAGACCCCCTCACCTTTTTGTCCTAGCTGCCATCACTCTGCTCACTCTCTCTCATGCTCTCTCTCCTTTCTGCAAGGTCATATTCACAGCCTTTGGATTTGAGAGGATGAGGGATTTCGGCTCCTGAAAGAACCGAATAACACCTTTCCTAAACGGGATACCAGATTCTAAACACTTATGACCCCTGGGGGACTTCTCTCCCCCAGGTTGTGAGCACAGATTAACCCCATTCAGTGTCAGGGAATTGGTCTGTCTCCTTGGCTGGGAGGGCCAGTGGAAAAAGAGGAATCGCCTTTTGACAGGATGGGCCGCCCCCTGCTGGAAGAACCGAGTTATGGCATCTCTCCCATCTCCGCTAGTCTGTGGCTGTCCCCTCTGTGGTCTACAACAGTTCTTACCAAGCCCTGCTCCTTTCCAAACTTGCCGTGAGATGGTTTGCAGGAAATCTGTCCTACTTGTAGGGAAAAGCAGCTCTGGCCTGATTGCAGGTAGAGTGCAGAGAGACTAATCAAGCCTCATCTGTCTCCCTTGCTTCCCCTTCCCATTCAAGGCCCCTCTTTCCCAGGGCCTGAGACTGAGCAGCTTCCAAGGGCCCAGGCTCTCACTCACTCAGCCCTTGTTCTCACTTCTGCTTTTCTCTGGAGTAGTCAGCTGGGCCAGAGAGGCCAGAGTCGACTGGGGGTCCCGGGAGCTGAGAGTGGCCTCTGAGCCTGGCACTGCCCGCTCTGATTCCCCTTACCAGGCTGAGCAGTTCAGACACCCAGAAATGGAGGTGGGGAAGCCAAGTGGACATGCCCTCAAACTAGTCCCATCTTGGAGGTGGATGGCCTTCATCAAAGAGAAAAGGGAAAAGTCAAGAATACAGAGGTTAGGGGAGAAATATGCAACAGTTAGAAACATTAAAGTCAGGGAAGAGAGAGACTAGGGAGCTATCCACAGAAGGTGTGTGACTCTGGCTCTAACTGCACCTTGGTAAGATGAGGGGCTGAGTTGGGGAGCCCTAAGGGTTCTGATAGCACCCCCTTCCAAGATCTTTATTATGAGAATCGAAGGAGAAATAAAGACAGCTGCACATAGAGCCAGGCAGAAAGCAGCAGCAGCATAAAAAAATACAAAAGAGCAAAAGTGGGTGAGTCCAGTGTCACGGACCCCAACCCCCAACCCCCAACCCGGACAGCCTTACCTCAGGCCACACTGACGTTGCCTCCGCCTGACCTGGCTATGCTCTTGTCCTGAGCCCAGGTCAGGAGCCCTCCTGCTGTGGAGTCTGGCAGCTGAGTGCGAGGATGTGGGTAGGCAACAGGCTGGGTTTCAGGCCCTGTGATTCTATCTGAAAAACTCAAAGATTCATGGAATTTATAGTCCTAGAATTATGAAAGGTGGTGGTGACAAATGGCCTCCCCCACAGCTGGGGAGGAAGCTGGGGGATGGGAGTCGCCTGGGGGAAAGAACAGGACTTCTTGTCTGAGTAATAGTCTAGAGAATGCTGAATGTACCACTTGCCAGAGCCCCGTCCTGTCAGACCAGCTGTTCCTAGAAACTCACACAACAAAAACAGACCCCTGGGTCAAAGTGGGCTCCAGATGGCACCCTATGGGGCCTATGGGCTTAGCTGGCTGGGGAGCTGTGTATAAAGCCACCAAGATATTTCTATAGGCACCAAAAAGAGACTACAGACCTCAGTCCCAAAGCCAATGAAACAGGCCCTCCCCGCTGGATCCAGGGATCAGGCCCCTGGCACTACACAGCTTTCATGACTGGACAGTCCCAGGTATCCTTCTGTGTCTGCGCGGCTACCCACCACCGAGGCTATCACCTGGGTCCAAATATCTGAATGAGAGCCTCCTTCCTCCCAGGTGCTGTGTTAAGTACTGTGAACACCAAAATAAGGAAGGCACAGTCCCCACCCTTAATAAGATTAAAGTCTAATGGAGAAATCAAATAAACGTAGAGCAGAGTGCTACATTTAAAAAAATTTTTTTTGTTCTGATTCTTTTTTTTTCATTAATAATTATTCTGTGCCATCAATGGTCATTTCTTTAATTTAAATTCAATTTGAGGGGCAGCCCGGGTGGCTCAGTGGTTTGGTGCCTGCCTTCGGCTCAGGGTATGATCCCGGAGTCCCAGGATCGAGTCCCACGTCGGGCTCCCCGCATGGAGCCTGCTTCTCCCTCTGCCTGTGTTTCTGCCTCTCTCTTCTCTCCTCTCTGTGTCTCTCATGAATAAATAAATAAAATCTTTTTAAAAAATTCAATTTGAGAGTGCTACATTTTAAAATAGAAGCAGATTTGAGGCTCAGGAAGACCTCCAAGGAGAGCTCAGAAAAAGTCACATAGAGATGCCTGTGGATATTTCAGAGGAGGCAGTCGGATGAGTCATCCTGGCACTCAGGATGGCAAGCCAGAGATCAGAAGAAAACTTTGCAAACTATTGGTTTGGGTGGAAGCAGCCTCATAAATGGATGAGATAGGCCTGAGAAAGTGATGAGGAGGAAAAGTCAAAACTGGAAGAGTAGCAACCGGCCTCTAAGAAGGTCCCCATGGGGGATCCCTGGGTGGCGCAGCGGTTTGGTGCCTGCCTTTGGCTCAGGGTGTGATCCTGGAGTCCCGGGATCGAGTCCCGCGTCAGGCTCCCGGCATGGAGCCTATGTCTCTGCCTCTCTTTCTCTTTCTCTCTATCATAAATAAATAAATAAATCTTAAAAAAAAAAAAAGAAGGTCCCCATGATCCTTGTAGGCTGGCATTCCCAGCCTTGTGGGATCCCCTCCTGCAGCAGAGTGGGGTTACCAGAAAAGTCACAGTAGGTGGCTTCTGAGATAAGGATACATAAAATTGAGTGTTCTGTCTTGGACTCTCTCTGACTCTCTCCTTCTCCCTTGGATCGTTCCCCTCTGCCATGTTGTGAGCACTCCTATGGTAGGACTGACTCATGTGGCAAGGAACTGAGGCCTGCCAACCACCATGTGAGCAAGCTCAGAAGCAAACCTCTTGGCCCCAGTCAAGTCTGGAGAAGACTACAGAGCCAGATGAGAGTTTCACTTCAGCCTCATGAGACCTCCTGAGCCAGAACCACCAACTGCATTGTTCTCATTCCTGACTCTTGGAAACTATGAGATAATACATTTCCAAGCTGTTAAGTGTTAGGGTGATTTGTTATGCAGCAATAGATAACTAGTACAGGACTCTTGGAGAAAAATAGCTCATTGAAGAGTCAGAGCAGAGAATGCTGAAATATAAGATTTTCAAAAATAAGGTAGCCCCAGTTAAAACAGTGTTGCAGGGACCCTTGGGTGCCTCAGTGGTTGAGCATTTGCCTTCAGCTTAGGGCGTGATCCTGGGTCCAGGGATGGAGTCCCACGTCCGGCTCCCTGCAAGGAGCCTGTTTCTCCCTCTGCCTATGTCTCTGCCTCTCTCTGTCTGTCTCATGCATAAATAAATAAAATCTTTAAAAAAAAAAACACTGTTGCATTGATTCATGAACAGATAAATCAAAGGAGCAGAAGGGAAGGTTCAGAAATAAATACAAAAAAAAAAAACACAACCCCCACACACACACACAAAAGAAATAAATACAAACACACTTGAGAACTTCACATGTGATAAAGGTGGCATTTTGAATCAGTGAGAAAAAAGATTTATCAATAAATGATGTTGAGACAACTGGCTAGCTCTCTGGGGGAAAAGAAACTAAATTAGATCTGTGCGTTTCAAACCATACACCAAAATAAATTTCAGATGAATCAAAAATTTAAATGTTTAAAAAAATGAAACCATTAAAAACTGCAATAATTCTTGGGGCGCCTGAGTGGCCCAGTCACTTAAGCATCCAACCCTTGATTTCAGCTGGGGTCGTGATCTCAGGGTCAATGATCTTGGGATCGTGATCTCAGGGTCCTGAGATTGAGCCCCATGTCTGGCTCAGCACTGGGTGTGGAGCCTGCTTAAGACATTCTCTATCCCTCTGCCTGCCACTTGCACTCTCTCTGTCTCTCTCCCTCCTTCTCTCTCAAAACAAAACAAAACAGGGATGCCTGGGTGGTTTAGCAGTTAAGCCTCTGCCTTCAGTTAAGGGCATGATCCTGGAGTCCCAGGATCAAGTCCCACGTCGGGCTCCTGGCATGGACCCTGCTTCTCCCTCCTCCTGTGTCTCTGCCTCTCTCTCTCTCTCTCTCTCTCTCTCTCTCTCTCTCTCTCATAAATAAATAAATAAATCTTTTAAATTTTTTTAAATTTATTTATTTATGATAGTGAGAGAGAGAGAGAGAGAGAGAGAGAGAGAGGCAGAGACATAGGCAGAGGGAGAAGCAGGCTCCATGCACCAGGAACCCGATATGGGATTTGATCCCGGGTCTCCAGGATCGCGCCCTGAGCCAAAGGCAGGCGCCAAACCGATGCGCCACCAGGGATCCCCTAAATAAATAAATCTTAAAAAAAAAAAAACCACTACAATACTTCTTTTACTTCTGCATGAAAAAAGACTACCTAAGAAAGCCAAAAGAAAAGTACAATTTATGTAATGTTTTAGAATACTAATATATTTAGCTGGACTAAAACTAATATATAGTGATAGAAATCTGTGGTTGTCTGAGTAGAGGGGCATGAGGGAACATTCTAGGGTGATGGAAATTGTCTGTATCTTGATTAGAACAGTGCATCTGTGGATGCACAGATATATGTGTTTGTCAAAACTCCAGGAACTGTGCAATTAAGGTGTGTACATTTCACTGTCTCTGCAGCATACTTCAATAGGGTTGATTTTAAAAAGAAAAAGTAAAAGGGCAAACACCAGTAAGTGTGATCTTTTATAAAAACACAATTTCTCTACAGAAATTGATAGTCTTGAATCCTGAAGTGCTTCCAATCCCTTTCTTCTCTGGGAGTGACCCTTCCCCAGCCTCTCCCAGGCATAAATGATTCAAAGCAGAATTCCTACAGCATTTTATGCTGTAGAGACGGAGTTGAGGTCTATATAAAGCATGCATTACTTTGCTTTGTTTTCTACACCGATTTGAAGTATCCTCTAATCTTGGCCTCTAGGATGGTGCTGGAATTAGACTGAATGTTTGTGTCCCTCCAAAATTCACGTAGAAGCCCATGTGATAGTATTAGGAGGTGGGGTCTTTGGGAGGTGATTGGGACATTAGGGTCGAGCCCTCATAAATGGGATTAGTACCCTTATCAAAGGAACTCTTGAGAGGTCCCTTATTCCCTCCACCAGGTGAAAACACGGCAAGAAGCCATTTATGAACGGAGAAGCAGGTCTTCGACAGACACCGAGTCTGCCGGTGCCTTGATCCCAGCCTCCAAAACTGTGAGAAATAGGTATTTGTTGTTTAAACCATCCAGTCTTTGTCATTTTTTGCTATGGAGGCCTAGGCAGACTAAGACAGCTTAGTTGGCTGGTTTCGTAATTGGCTGATTGGTTGTTTGGAAGACTGGCTGATTCACAGACTAGGGAGATGGAAAAAGCAAGAGCTATTTCTCTAGGGGCAAAAATCCTCAAGAAGGAAGGAAAAAAAAAAGGAGAAGAAAATATTGCCCACGGTGGAATTTCATAAGACAAAAGTGGAGAAAACAATGGGGAAAGTAGTTATATGTGTGTTTCTTTGAGGAGGAAGAAAAGATATGATAGAGAAGAAAGTTCTGGCAATGACCTCAAGGAAACCCCTTAGTATCCATAGCCTTTGGTAGGCATGGGGTAATGTAAAAAGACAGGGGCAGGCTAGAGCTCAGAAGCACAGGAACCATTGGCAGGGCCATGGTGGCTGCAGGAGAGTTATGCTAACCAAACCCCGAAGGCTACAATTCCAGGAAGCCATATATGTGCTCCAAAACAAAACTTCCCATCGCAACTATGACCTCCCTCCAGTTCATTCCCTGTGCATCCCTTTCACCACAGCATCTCAAACCCTTGACAAGCTACAAAAGCATTTGTCAGGAGAAAACCAGCTTGCCAACATGACTGCCGCCAACACCCTCCTCTCAGAGCTTCGTAGCTTATCGCAACACACGCAAATGAGCATCAGCAAGCTGCCGATGGATCGGGGTTCTACTCCACATCTTGGCACTGAAGGGTTCGCCTTTATGTACCTTTTATGAGATTGACAGATTTAACAAATAAAAAACAAACAAACCAGAATGCCCAGTTAAATTTGAATTTCAGATAAACAAAAAGCAATGTTGTAGTATAAGGACATCCCCAAAATTGCATGGGACATGCTTATACTAAAAAACCTATTCTTGGTTTATTTGAAATTCAAACTTACCTGGGCAACCTGTGTTTTATCTGGCAACCATGCCCTTTTACAGTGGTGGTAACTGTTATCCAAAGAATAGTG